CACGCACAGTTTGGACAAAATGTTTCATGCCTTTCCTTCATGAATCTAAAATGAATCTGTTTTCAAGAACTTTATAGTGATATTTATAGCAAGTGCCTATCACACAGCACACACATGAGTTTTTCAAAGAGACCATTAACTTTCCATTCTCATGTTCTCAAAGAGAAAAAAAAAAACAGGATGTGGAAGCCGGGAAAGCAGGTTGCTGAGGTTAACTGATAAAGAGTTGAGAAAACTCTGCTCGTCTTGAGATGAGTTTGTTTTATTAACAAACAAGGGTGTGCGAATGGAGAGTAATGCTAAACTCAAGTGCCTAAATCCTCATAATCTGATTATCAACTCAAGCAACTTGCAAGTGTGTTTTATTCAGAATCAACGTAGCTTGTTTTGCTCAAAAGGGGTAATATTGGAAAAGTTGTATGGGGTAAACTGCCACTGAAATCTAAAGATGCATTTTTTTCTACCTTATTTTGTGGTCACCATTTTACACTAATGAGTCACAGGTGGACATGATTAAACGAAGTGCGACAAAACACAAAATGGTATCAATTATTTTGTAAATAAAACGTTTAGCACGGAAACTTTGCAAAATCAAACTATTTTGTTACATGAACTTCAAGAAGTACTGCATCACCCCCGACATCAGCTTTGATAAGGTGACAGCAACAACAAGCGCGTTCAACACGAAGAGAAGAACTTCTAACTGTTCGCTTTTGAACTCCACAGATGGTCTGGTCAACAAAAACTAACATATAAACAGTAAAAAAACAATTACTTACCCATTTTTGACGCTTCTAATAACTCGTCAGAGCTGAAAAGGTCCACAGTGCACAGATTCAAACTCAGAGAGCAGCTCGCACAAGGCTTCAGTGCGTGTAGTAATCAAGTGACGTCACAAATCCTCAGCGGGCGGAGAAAACTCATCAAAAAAGTGTGAAAGATGTGTTTTGTTCACACTATTTCTCACAGGATTAAAGTTTGAAGTAATTATTAATAATGCACAGTTTATTTTGTTAAGTGCTTCATTTGATAAAAATATCTTTCTAAAATAAATATATACATTTTCCAGCTTCAAGTTGAAGTAAATTTACTAGAGGAAACCATTGCAAAAGCCTTGAATTAAAACATTTTTTAATTCATGTCCTTGCCTTTGTGTTTTGTAATTCAACTACTTTATAAAAATGATTTCTTAAGGTTGTTTCTCTTGTATACAGACATGTGTTTATCAATGTGTTTATCAATAATTCTGATAATTCCGTGTCATAGGTTTTATTGCCATTTTGTACTAATTCTAGTCTGAATGCATATTTTAATTAAATGTTTTTGTTTTATTTTATTATGCACATTATGCACAAAAAATGTGAATTATGCACGTCCTAAATGTAATATTGATTCAAAAGTCTAAAATCTGTTTTCTTACTTGCTTATCATTTTTAATGTCTGCTATACACTCTAAATGATATACTTGTCACTAAACACAAAACAAATACATTCACTATATTTTCTTTTATCAGATCTTTAAACGAGTTTGACCTCAATCAATACAATCTTGCTTGTTTGAAAAAAAGCTACAATATACTAAAAATAGCAATGAAAAATATATAACGGATTTAATATAGTACTCCTAATAACAAAATTAACTTTAAAACATTTCACAAACAGTGCAGTGAGGCCAGTCAGAGGATATGCCTATAGAATTCCCTTAGGCATGTGGTAATTGATGGACTGGTGATCTATCCCGAGTGTAAGTAAGTAAATAAAACGGATGAATGGATTCCAGTTAAATAACTTATTTCCCCTTGAAAATCCATTTATTTCCTTATAAAGATTCACTGAAGGCTTCTGCTTGTTTGGATGGATTGATGGAAGGACGGTCACGAAACTGTACATGGAAAGGATTGTATTGTTGGAAGCAAAGATTAATCCACTGTACACGTTTAGGTGTTACATGTGCTTTGGTTTTATTTGACAAACCTTCATCATTTTCGGCCTGTGGACTGCGTTGTAGGCTGGAGAGAAAATATTATAAGGGGTCTATCTGCTGGTAGAAATGTAGTACTACACTTTGAATACTGCACAAATTCAGTATTTCACTTATACTGGCCTGATTAACCAAATATGAAGTGATCATTCTTCTCGAAAGTAATTATTTTCTTGTTATATCTGCTTAAAATATCGTAATCGAAATCATAATTAAGCGAGTCCAATGGTGGCTTGTTGTTCACCAGAGGAGCACATTTCAGAGAGGTGAAAGTCCGCTAATGAAACGGAATCTCTGTGTGAAAAGGCAGGCGTATTAATAATGCATCACAAAGGCGTTTTCTTCATTCCATTACTCCCAGTGAATACCGGTGTAAGTTAGCAACAAATTAAACAAAATAAAATGATTTTTTTTTTATAAGAGGTTAACACCAGCCATTTGGACTACAAAACACAAAGAACGCTGGGAAACAGCGAACCTCCCAAATCGAAGATTACACGGATTTGGCGAATGATTTACTTTGATTGACGAAGATAACGACCAATCAGCGTTCAAAGAACAACAGGGCGTTTGACGTCAGATTCAAATTGACCAATAGAAGCAAAGAATCGCAGGCATCGTTGACAATCTACATGAACAAGTGTTTCTCTGTCAGCGATACACTTAATCTGAGCACCTGGTCGCTGTCCACTGACATCGAGAGAGGTAAGCCGTTTTCTTTATGTTCTCATGTTTCTGTACATGTTGTATGAAGAAATGTTGCAAAATGTTATACGTGCTACATTTCTGTCAGCACTAGACATGTGGAATCATAAGCTGCCTTAACACTACTTTACCAGACCTGACACAATATACTGTACTGTACCAGTGCACATTGTTCTTTTTAAAACAATCGGCAGAGCACCAAACCTTTTTTGTGTTATGTTTTACCTTCTTTTTGATAGAATCCTTGCTGAAATACAGTACATGTTCTGTAAGCTGGTAGGAATATGTCATAGCAACATCAGAATTGACACCAATTATGTTGCTGTGTTCTTACTGTGATATTTGTGCTGTAACTTTTATTTACGGGATCAGGGAAGTCTCCAGGAAGATTGTTATGCCTTAGAGGAAAAGCACAAGAGGCTCTATTAGTGATGTCTTCTAATGCATGTCTGATGAGATACATAATCAGCTTTCTCTTGCCAAGACTCAGAGACAGACAAGACTAATCATCAACGCTTGAAAGGAGAAATTGACCTGAACTGACATGAACCTACAGTATTGCTAAAAATACCTGCTAACTGTTTCTATTTGTTGATCATTATAATCAAGAGGATGCGTGTCTGATTTTTTATTTATTTTTATATTTAAAAGTTAGTTGGATTTGTTTTGCTCATGCAAAAGAAAACTTTTGAATTCAAGATAATGTGTTTGGGCCATATACAGTAAGTGAAACAAGTGTTGGACCCCCTGCTGATTTCGAGTGTTTGCCTTTAGATGAAGAAATTAACAGCCTATAAATTTAACTGTAGACTTATTTTAAAAAGTAATACTATACTAATTGAGAAATGCATTTGAAAACATTATGACAAGGAAAGGCATGCTTATTTCTATAGCACATTTCATACACGTTGGTAATTCAAAGTGCTTGACAGAGAGTTAAGGCAGTGAAAGCAAAACTTACAGAACACACATATACATACATACACACCCTGAAAGACAGCTGGACATATAAATAAAATGCAATTAAAAACAGTTTGAAAATCAGTGTTGCATAGGAGTTCTTAAACCCTTTGTGATAAAGTCACAGATAATCTGGAAAATGGTAATAATCAAATGCCTTATTATTCTTGCTCCCACTTGTAATCATGCAATCATTCATTGCATAATGATTAAAATAGAGGAATGCATAAGGACAGTACTAGTACTGTGCGGCCATTGGTGCTCGGTCAGTAAAAGCTCATTAAAATAAATTTTTCAGTCTAGATTTCAATGTGAAAACATGTAACAGATTCAACAAGCATAAACAGGGGCAGCATAGAGGGGTAGCACTGTGGTATTCCAGTCAGAAAGTTGCCGGTTTGAGGCTCTCCATTTTTTTTTTTAATTTTTAAATGAAATAATGTCAGATTGTACCCTCTAGTTATATGGTGCCTTGGTTAAGCTGCCTTAATTAATTTACACTCATTAGAACTTTCAATTATGTAGATCTGTAGCTGGGTGATGGCCAGCTCTGACACACAGCTGTTTTGGTCGAGAGGTTGTGTTGATTTATCACAGAGTAAAAGGCTTGTCATTTAGATGTATTTTTAGGTTTCTGAGGAGTGCGGGATAATGGATGTTCTCTGTGTCAGTTTTTCATTGAATTAGTGAATGTTTGTGGCATGTCTGTTTGTGGTGTCTGTTTGAATCTAATTGAGTTTTCTAAAGATTTTTCGTTATTTGCTTAATTCTTGCACCAGGCAAATAGTTTTGTTGTATTTTTGTGTTGTTCTCTGATCAGCTTGGATTTGTTCTCAGGCAGAATTAAACCAAAAATAAGTATATAAGTACATTTTTCATTTGGGTTTGTTCACAGACGTAATTTATGGGGGCAATATAATTTCTTAATTTCTTATAGGTGGCACTTTTTTTCAGAGGAACAGCTCAGGTTAAGACTCATGTTAAGTTTGGGAGGAAACGTGGGTGTACATGTACGTGTGTTTCCCAGGTGTAGGAGGTTTGATTCTGATCAGCCCTCTCATGCTCTCTAGTAGAGCCCCGCCACTTCATCTCATCCGCCTCTTGGACTGAAAGTCTTCATTGCCTTGGAAACGGTTGCTGAGTCGCTCATCTCTTGCTCTCCCTGGCTCTTCATTTTCCTTACACTCTCCCTCACAGCTCAGCTGCTGGGGTAGGAGGTGTTGTGGGGTGGTTTCACCCTAACTTCTGTTCGTCACAATCTCTGTTTCATTTGAAGGCCTGAGGTCAGAATACATGGATTTCCCAGAGAGCACCCTCTTGTTCATTCAGGGAGGCTTTTTTTTTGTCTACCCAAGCTTTTCTGTGGCTCAGTCAGTTTTGCATTATGCTAGCAACACAAAGGTTGTGGGTTCAAACCCCAGGGAAAGCAAGAACTGACTAAATCTGTTCGTAACTTGAAATCTGCTAATTAATAAGTGTAAATGAATGTGTGAAAGAACACAATTCATATTAACTAATAATTATTGGATGATAAGTTGTCCTTGTTGATATAATACTAACATGAGTCACAGAGCATCAACGAAACAATTAGTTAAAGACTTTTCAGAGTCCAGTTGTTAGGGGCAGAGATAATTAAAAGCATTAATTTCTTGAAATGCCAAGGTTTATACATTTCTCCCTGGACCTCTTGATCAGCTCACTGATTGGCCAGAAATAATTGTTACTGCATGCATATTGTGTGCAACAGTAAAATGAGGTACAACTACATGTTCACCAGCAATCTATCATTTGAGTCTTATAAACCACCACATGTACTGCATAAAAAATACCACGTATACATTATGTGTCTATTTTTTTATCGCGTACTTGTGGATTTCTGTCACATTCTCTATGATGTCACCAAGTGGAACTAGAATGAAGTAGTGGAGTGATACAAGCCCACTTATAACATGAAGTCAATAGAAACACAAAGGTGATCCATGGAAATTAGAGCTAAGCCATACCAAGGTGAGTCATGCTATTACGAAAATTCGGTACCAAAGTGGCAGTCGAGCCCAAGACTCATCTTAGTGCTCTCTTGATCTCCTCATCTGAGTAAACTAAATTCTGTAGTAACTATTACATGGCGGCATCTATTGTATCTGTTGGAGACTCTTGTCTATCCTCATGTTTAGACTACTCTAATACAGTGTATAATTGTAGGAGTAGGGTGAAGCAGTCAGATGAGACCAGTGACTGGAACCAGGTCATATGATCATATATGATTAAGTTGTATGTGATAATTTTATGCTATTATACAGGCAAATTTTCTGATTTCATGATTTTCACTGATGGTTAATGATTGGGTGAAGCCATATTTGGCCAAACAACTGTTTACTCGTTTTAAATGGTAAAAGAACAGAAACAACAGAAACTTTCCAAATGACCCTGACCAAAAATTTACATAACCAGGTGATTTTAGACTGATAACATGCACAATACCAGACACAAAAGGGTTTGAGTGTCTCGTAAAGGGAATCATCCTGACCAAATTTTGGTCCTAACCTAAATAAATGTGATTTCAAAAGAGTAAACAAAGTTTTTGTGTTATCATTCATATTTTGTGGTTACAAAATTTTGACAGGGTATGTAAACTTACGAGAACAACTTGTCAATCATGCTGCTCATTTTTGTTTATCCAAATCGAGTGTTTATAATATAATCTTTAGATATTGTAGCGGGGTGAAGAATCACGCAACAAGGAATTGAGTGGTAAGGTGCCCGGAGGGTGGTTTTATTAACAAGTCTGGTGCAGTGTTCTTCGGTGGTGGTGATTATTTCCTCGTGCTCGTGCCCTGAGAGAGAGAGAGAGAGAGAGAGAGAGAGAGAGAGAGAGAGAGCTCCGCTGATTGCCGGCAGCTGAGACTAGGTGGCGGTTGATTGCGGGGTCCAGGTGTGCCTCGTTTGTACCAGGACAGCGATGAATGGAATGGACAGCCATCACAATATATACTGGGTTTAAGTTACCAATCAGCTGATATCACTAACTCTGATTTAGTTTAAAAATTCAAAAATACTTTTACTCTGAACTTAAACAAAAAATTAAATCAAGAAACACATACAAAACTGCCACACTTTGAAGGACGAGACAGGTAGTGTTTGAGTGCAACTGCATCCTGTTTTATTGAAGGATGATGAGGTGAAACAACAATTTGCAGCAATTCTCGTACTCAATAGTCCCTGTAGTATCCAGGACAGGAACAACCATTGGTTAAATGAACCCAGGACCAAGAAGTGTAGCTCGTAGGTTTGATTGTCCTCTGGAAGATTCCGAATGCATCAGAGAGTTTGAAGAGGTAGGTAATCAAAAAAAAAAAAATCCAGGAAGTAGAAAGCTAACATGCAAACACTGTTCTAAGAGAGTCTTAAGATCATTGGAGGTAAGTAAGGGTAATCCAAATATCCCTTGGGAAGAGCATAAGAATCATTGACTGAAACAGTGGCTGCCAATTTTGGACTAGATAGAACTGGAAGAGATGAATATAGAAGGTGAGGAAATGCTAGAAATAAGGTGAGTGGCTGTGTGAGGTTATTGGTTATTGTGCTTCAGCAAAAGTGGAACCTATTGGCTTTCATTCTTAAAACGGTTTAACTTCCATTAAGAATTCTAGTCAAATAACTCAAATTAAGACTCTCAATTCACAGGTTTGCTTGCAAACAATTTATGAACGATTCTCTGAGGAACTGAAATGCGTTCAGAATATGAAATTCTTCAAAACGGCCCTGCAGTGTGTGCACTTTTTGCATGTCAGTGTACGTGCTTTAGTGTCATCATGAACAGGAAAGTATTAATCACAAGGAGAAAAAAAGCAACATAAACACCTTCCTCAAGGAGCCAGTGTAGGTTTGAGATGTGGTGTGTGTCGTTGTCGGGGGTGCAAGTGAGAGAGTTTAAATCAAGGGATTTCACTGTTGCCTGGCTACCGGCGGGAGCTGCTCTGCCGCTCTCGTCTCCAGCATCCTCCCCTCCAACACAAACCGCCAGCACCAGTCAATGAGCATGTTCCTCTTCTCTTGATTTCTGCATCTATTTCCATGGTCACTTGCTCGGTGAGCAACATAGGCTTTTGAAGAGGCTCTTTTTCTTGTAGTACCTTCGGACATTCTGCTTTGCATTCTGTAAGGCACAAGGACTGCAGACATGGATAGCTTATCATGGTTTAGCAGATATCACGATGAGCCCAAGGTAGGGGAGTCTAGTTTTGCATTTTACTGAAAATGTAATGCACTGATGACAGGCTCTTTCTTGTCAGATTTATCCTATAGTACTAAGCAAGCATGATGTACTATTGCTTTTAAATCAGCCAGACGCAGTGCCAGTGGGATGGAATGTGTCTGAATGGAGAGTTTAACTGTTTTTACATCACAAGAGTGAGCTCAAATAATATTTATAAGTGTAAAAGAACATTGAGTTCTGAGGTGGATTATAAACATATGTAACAAAAAGCATATTTATTTAATGAATTTGAAAATAATAGTTCTGTACATATTAAAGGTTTCCAGGTCTTTAAGGTATATTAAACTGAATTAGCAGACTTGCACTAAGGTATATAATTTGAATATTGACGTGGTAAACAGTAAAGTTTAATTATTTAAAGCACAGTGAGTTTATGATGATACATCAACGCCAGTGGTGTCAATTGTTCAGACTTATACTGTTTTGTTGTGAATGAGCAGAAAACTATTGGTAAAAGAAATACAGCAGTTTTTCAAAACTCAGCCTTTCATTAAAGAAACAGGTTACATGTAGTTCACAGATCCTTGGTTCACAAGCAGGAAGTGGCGAGTGGAAGAGATTGCCAATGGCTGAAGTCTTTAGGCAGAGGTAAGTAGGAACCAAGAGTTCAACAGTGGAGATTCAGCATTAGGAAATTCAGATAAGTATTTGCAGAGAGAGGTATGTCTAGCCTAAACCGTAGTACAATCAAAAAGTGGTATCAGTTTTTTAGTTAATGATTTAGTGTATTGTGATTTTACGCAGATGACTGGGAGTGTCTTGGTGGAAAGAAAGGCACAATCCCTCAGCTCCAATGTAGAGTCAATGATTTAAATTGACTTGTTTTAGTTTAGTTCAAAAATTTCTTATTGTGAACTTTGATCTATTTATGAAGCTAGTCCCAGCTACAGGCAGCATAACCAAAAACAAGCTTTCCATGTACTTTGTTTGATTTCTATACCACTTGCTTTGTTTTCCCAGATAAAGATGTCTCAGGTGAAGCAAGTTGGCCTGTTGGCTGCAGGATGTCAGCCCTGGAATAAGGATGTATGTGCTGCTAGTGGTGACAGGTTTGCTTATTGTGCCACACTCGCCATATACATCTACCAGGTAAGCCCTTTACCACCCTGAAATGTTCACCAAATCTGTTTCCGGCACTGATTAAGATCTGTCTCCTAGCTTGACCACAGATATAATGAATTTAAGCTGCGAGCAATCATGTCTGAGCACAAGAAGACTATCACTGCAATATCATGGTGTCCACACAATCCTGAGATGTTTGCCAGTGCCAGTGCTGATAATCTGCTCATAATCTGGAATGTGGCTGAGCAGAAGGCAATTGCCCGACTAGATAACACAAAAGGTACCACACCTGTGATATAATGATAGATTTGATTTTAAAATCCAACTGTGTCTCTCAGACCAGTTTTGTTGTCATCTTTATGTTATCCACATTATGTTTTCAGGGATCCCAGCATCTCTAAGCTGGTGCTGGAACACAGTTGACAGCGTTGCATTCGTATCGCACCGGGGTCCTCTCTACATATGGACTATGTCTGGGCCTGACTCAGGAGTCACTGTGCATAAAGAGGCTCATAGTTTCCTTTCGGATATCTGCCTTTTTCGGTGGCATCCATTGAAGAAGGGAAAAGTGGCGTTTGGACACACTGATGGCAGTTTGTCCATATTTCAGCCAGGTATTCTAAGAATGTCAAAAACGAGAAAGAAGACATGTATGGGCTACAACATTTTCCCCAAGGTTCTTGGTGTGAAGGTGACACCATGTTGACCTTGAAAACTTGTTTTCCCTAGAATTAGTAGCTACAACATTGTGGTCTTGTGGTCTCAACCTCAGACTGCAAAAAATATGGCTGACGTGACACCGTCTACTAATATGAAGCCATTTCGAGCTGGAGAGGAGGCTGCACATGTGCACAAGCGACTTCCTGTTAAGAATTGAACCATCGTTATTTCAGAGCTCTGCCTCGAGTCCAACTCACACATGCCCCTCTCACATGCAGACAGTTGTATACAACTTTTTTCGTATGTATAGTTTGACTGTTGGCAGCATATAAGATCTTTCTCACGTCCTGATGACCGCGGTAAGTCAACTCTGTTCTGTGTAGCTGTCAAACATAGCTGTCAATCACATGGTCCCGCCTGTTATTTTTAAG